ACGGGAGAGGGGTAGTATTTGAGTTTTTGAGAGGGTCGTATTTGTGGTTGGTGAAGATCGAATGATTGGGAAGAGGTCGTGTTGAACGTGTAGGGGGTTGTGGTGGCGAGACAACGGTCGCGCTTCATGTTTTTTTTGGCGATTTTGGGAGAAAATCAACGGAAGAAGCGTGAAATAGACAATTGGAGCATTGCTGCTTCTTCCAAATTAATTCCCCTTGCGGTTTGGGGGGGGAGGGGAGTTGGTCTGCGTCGACTGGTCTCAAAATCAAATACTGTAGAAAACAGCCATGAACTTGGACCGTGAATTCGTAACTAACAGAAACTTACGCCGACTGCTTTGGTTGCCGTTTTTCATCAAGCCAAGCTCCGTTCACGAACGATCGAAATTTTGCGAGTGTAAATTGTGGTCCGACAAATGTTCCAGTGTACAGAAAGGTGTAAGCGGCGATTTCGAGAAGTCCCGGAACTTTCTTTATTGCCTCCCTTTTCTGATCTGATTTCAATTTCTCCTGAAGATGTAACTCAAATTTGCGTACGAAGGCTAGCACTGATATGGCTACAGTTATCTGTGTCATTCCGCTGTGGGGTTGAAAACTCTGCGCATTTTTTGTAAAGATAGAGTTCAGTACTTGAACCTGACTCTCGATGAGAATACAGCGATATCGATGGGTACGTACAGTAGCCCGTGAAATACATTTTCTTTGATAACTTTTTTTCTGCTGAATCAAATCAGTTCTAGTTTTAGCTCTTCCTGAAAACAAGCCTTTTCCACTCAAACAGCATATTTTTGTTTGAGGGGAGGAAAAGTGGAGAATGGTAAAATTATTTCACTGTAAATTCCCAAGTGCAACTGGTTTACAAGCGGATTTCAAACTATTGTGAAGAGCTTACAATCCAAAAACAAACGATTGCATGAAATAATATTGAGCAGATTGAAATAACAAATATAACAGAAATAAAAATATGAACATAATAAAAATAAGCAGAATCTTTGCTGATAAATTTCTAGAGAAGCTGAAACTTTCTCACGGCCCGAGCATGGAATAAAATGACATTTAATTATTGAGGCCATTTCTTCTATTCTTCTTCGAAACGTACGGGTTTCTCCTCCATATTCCTGACTTTTTTTTGGTCAAAGTTTTGTTCACCCTTTCCCATATTATCTCTGTAGGGGTCAGGAGATGTTTCTAGATCGCTTCATTTGACAAAGGCCCACCATACGGTCCAAGCCACTGCTGCACAGTAGCGGTTCCATGCTTTTAGTCACTATACTGTTGTTGGACGACGTTGAGTCGCTCTGTTGCTGTAGGACAAATTCAGAAGTGTGCAGTTGCGGAAAGGTTGCATGCGCAATCTTCGGAATCCACTTTCGTACGTCCGCATTCACTACTTCTCGGATCCTGTAAGTGGTCCGACTGTGAAGTGATATTGAATGAAGTAGGGTCTGAGCGCACCGAATTTGATCTTCGCTGGGCTTCAAGGTCATCTGGGTCTGCGATGGTAAGTCTAGGATATTTGGCAGTGACGACATTTGCGATGTCCTAACGAAGGACGTTCTGATCCGATGTAACGTATCCGATACCATCTGTGAAGCAGGGCGAAGGCTCGGTTACGGTATTTCGTAAAAGGTGTAGGACCAGTGTATGGAATTCGAGAAGTGGTGAATGCGAATTCATCCAGGTGGAGTACGGACCGTGTTAATTTTATGCACTGTTTGCCTTCTAGCAATAGTGCTACCTAACATTGCACCTCTGTTGTGCAAAGCATGTTTCAACAACATGGCATGTTGGCCGATTAAAGGCAAAGTTCGGGCTCAGACCCACTTAATGAGCCTTTACGGTGGCTAGAAGCGCTAGGTACGCAAGTGTAGGGGTCGCGTCACTTCCCTACTTCGAAAACCGTTATTTAGACGCTAGGCGCTAAGAACTTTGACACGCTCCACCTGCTGCGACACGCTCCCCCACCGCTCGATATCTTGACTGCGTCGGAATGTTGATCTGCTATGCTCTCTACTTAGACTTCTCTAGCGCTCTCCGCGCTCACATTATCTCTCATCTCCCTGCCGCCTTTTGAACTTCTCCGCACCGTAGAGCAAATGGCTCGTATTTCCTGTGCATTTCACGATTTCTTTTCTCTTTTCTGCACTGGCGGTCCACTACCTACCCCTACTTTCACATTTGAGTGGAATTACCTCATAATTCAATCCTGAATCTTGCCTTTAAATTCGTTGAGCGTTCATCGAAAAGCGGTCGTAATAAGAGCAATCTTCATAGGGCGAGAAGTGTACGAAATAAGTTTCAAAAAGAAGTCCAGGTTTGGGCAAAAGTGAAGAGAGTTTCCCCAATAGAAAATGAAATCATTTACTGATTTCATACTTCCAAATAGCCCTGTTAATGTTTCGGCAACTCTAGGAGGCGACCAACAAAGTATTGCATATGCTTTTACTATTTTTCACGCATTCGATCGTTTCGTCAAATTTTAGGCTTCCTAAAATTATTTGTATTACTCCTAACTTGGTCAGTCTTGGGAATTTTCGGGCGGGAAAATTTTTATACTTGCACTTTCCTCCATCACATCATATATTGCTGGCTTTCACGTGAAGGAGGCTTGTCTTACAGAACTTATATCAAAACTCGAACCAATCAATGAATCAGATTAGAAGGCGCGGAAATATTTGACTTTCACCTGAGCTTTGCGCGTTACTTAGGTGGCGATTAGCTCACTAGACGCAGTACACTAATAGTTATATGGCGCCCATAGTAGGATCACGGTGGGTGGCCACCGAGAAAAAGGTTAAGAAAGATGAGGCGCGTGTCGAGACTAGAACGACCCTTCCTCATGATCATTGAGTCCACTCTTTCACTCCCTTTTCCCAAACCACCACCCATCTCTCTCTCTTCCCCCCCCCCCCCTTCCCGGCTCTCCCCTCACAAATTCTTACATTACCCTGCAGCTCTTGTGGCTCTCTTCCGCTACTTGCAGTGGACCATAAACGCAAATGTTTCCAACATTTGAATTTCATGACTTTTTGCATATTTCATTCCATTTAAGCACTAGTTCTTTCCTCAAACTTATGCATATAATACACCGCAGGCCCCTCTGCATAGGTAATTTATGTGTCCATTCAAGGTTTATTCGTTCTTTCCCCTGTGTCTTTATTTCGCCAATCCCAACTCACTGATGAGCTCCGGGGATTGACAAAATAACATGGGTTCGTCTGAGGAAGAACCGAAACAAACAGTACTCAGTTTTCTTGATTGGCTGATCTAGAAGGGTTGTCTGGCCGAGATAGGGGCGGCGCCTGGGTGGCAGTCCACGGGCCTTAACGGAGATGTGACCGCAAAAGGTCGCGCCATTTGGCGTGTATCTACGGTAAGGCCCTAGGACGCGCCATGAGCTCCATCCATCACCAGGATCCCTTCCCTCCAGAATCGATGCTACTCAGCTTCGCTGCTACAGTAAGGACTTTATTTTTGGCCTTGTCGACGATCTGCTCCCGTTTTTCGCATTACTGGCGTTACACCACCTATCTATACGACCACTTTCGAGCGCATTCTAAACCAGCTCGATCCCGGATTTCGACTTGAGGTTTGAAACGCTCACGTAGTGAACTCCATCGTGAACGTTTATCACAAGTCCAGTTAATCGTAACGTCAATACACAGAATGGAGTTGTCCAGTTGATATCGTAACCTTCTGACTCTCTGAACCAATAACCCACCAGAAGATAACCCTATAAGCAGATTTATGAAATGAAGGGTGAGAGTCCAAAATCTCGTAACCAACAAGAAGGTAACCCTACAACTATGATATAATTCAACCTAATTATATAAAAAAAACTGATTGTGAGAAATAGGTCGATTCGTACCAGAAATGACACATGTGCTGCCACGATCGATTCACGTGTGCCCGTCATGAAATTTGTTATTAAATAAGCGAGTAAAATAGCTACCAAAGTATGCACAACTTGATATCCTGAACATTTTTATGTAGTATATGAAAGCATTCAGTGGTGATATATATGGCCCCTGTATAACTCCATCTCATTCCTTGGATCACTCCGACCACACTGTAGGACCATCGTTGTATAGACCCTGGCTTTGCGCTGGGAAAGAGGTGATCATGCTGGCATTCTCTGTTGGCGCTTTCGACAACGAAACCTCATAAACTGGCGAAATGAATGAAATCCCAGCTGATGACTGTTCTAAGGCACTGCTTCTTGAACCTCAGCAGAGTCAACCCTGCGTTGCGCAGTTCGCAACGGCACGTTGAGAGATCCTCAACGCACGCTGTATGGGCGGAGACGCAGACGGCTCGAGCATGCGAGTGTGAATGTTCGCGCGAGAGAACGTGTCTAATCGGGCGAAACTGCGCAACGTGGCCGTTGAGAACTGCGCAACGCAGGGTTGACTCTGCTCAACTCTTCCGCTCACCT